CACCACCACCACCACCACCACCACCACCACCACCACCACCACCATCAGCCCCAGGTCTGCTTGGAAGGAATGGTCAGGATCCTGTGCAAGTAGAACTACTTAGTGAAAGAATCAACCTTTTAGAACTTCAGGCTTCTCATCAACAGGGCCTTCTTTGCCACCAATAAAGCAATTCATTTCAAGAAATACCTTCCCTAGAGCTGGATGAAGCAAAGCAAAACAGCTGGCTGATTGTGAACCAAGGTGAAAATATCATCATAACATACTTGATATAGAGGGAGAAGGCAACAAAATTGGGAACACAATTCAGGAAGAAAGGAGGAGGAAAAAGGGGATGTAGAAAAGGAATGAAGCAATAGCAAGATGAAGAGGGAAGAAAGGTCTAAGATCTCTCTCCTTGCATGATGAGATCCTCCTCAAAACCTACAGTTCCTAAATTTCTACTTGTACTCCTAATTAGGCATTTATGCAAAATCCAACATAAGCACATTTTTCTTCCCTCCAAAATGAACTCACCCAACTAGACACATTCACTGGGGAGAAAAGTCAACGAGCTAAATAAACCTTGAATGGTTAAATCTCCATTGAGTATTTAGAAAAAAAATCGTGCTTTAATTCTATGAAAGGACACATTGAAAACAGCGACAGAAATATAGCTCCTGAGCCATAAAATAAAGGCAGGCTAATATTTATCTTTGGTTAAAAGGGATTGTTCCTGTGAATTAAGGGCACTTTTCTAGCAAAGCATAGTGACAGAGCCTGCCAACACTTCGGAGTATGAAAATGCAGCTCTTGGGAAAGTTGGCATGAAGGTTGTTGTCCTTGGAAGAATAAATGTCAAGTTCCTTACTGCGATCCTTCTAAAAGATTTATGCTCCAGAAAAGTGAGGTGTTCAGCCAACTCAATGGGCTCCAGATGGTCAAACAGCAGACAGGCCTTTCCCTTTTTGGATACTTTTTTCCTCTGTGTAACTCTTCTCATCCAGTCATAGGAAGGACTGTAAAAGTAGAGGGAGGTTGGTCAGCGTGCTGAAAATCTGTTTCACTCGATGGAAGTTATTAACCTACTGACTCTGTAACTCTTGGTCCGCTGCCAGGGGCTTGTGCACAAAATACATGCCCTTGTCCTTCATATTTGAAGAGAAAAACCACTGACCCCCATTGCCAACAGAACATAAACTTGGAGTTGTTTTTCTAGACAGGGTAGGCTTGCACTGATCCACCCAAAATCTCTGACTTGGTTTTCCTGGTGACCAAACAAGATCTGGATGATAAAGGAGAGGTCATATAAATGTGGGAGTTGATCAGCAGATGGTGACTTAAGGCATATTGGAAACTACTAGAAGTTATGGTTCTCAGATTTCAGCATAATAGGAATTACCTGAGAAACTTGTTACAGAAGCAAAGGTTTGGACCTACCTTGCCAGAGATTCTAATTCACTAAGAAAGAACCTGAATAGTGTATACTGTAAACAGTTATCAAATCACACACTGTTGATCATTTCTTTTGGCAGGGGGAGGAGGAGGGGAGGGAAAAGGGAGCTGTGCTGGGGATTTCACTTCTAGCGTGATCACTCAAAGAAATATTTGAAATAAAGGGAATATTATATGAATGCCTAAGGCATAAGAACATACATTTTACAAGATTGATAAGCATACTTGATCATCCAGTTGGTTTCTCAACCCAAAGTTACATAGCAAATTTGAAAAAAAAAAGTCTAATCAGTGACAGAAAACCAGTTCCCAATAACTGACCTACCAAGTTCACGTTACAACTCCAGCCATATTTGTGTAGTCTCAAGCCAGCCTCAAAAGCTCCAGGGTACTGTGCTTCTCTAATTTGAATGAAGATAAGAATCACCTGGGCATCTCATTAAAATGTAGACTACAATTCAGCAGGTTAAGGGTGGAGCCAAGGATTCTGCATTTTTAATGAGCCAGTTCTGGTATGGAGTCTCCACAGCACGGAGACCATAACCAGATTCAGATTCACTAACTAAGCATTGAGCATCTATTATCTGCCAAGTGCTTTCACATGCTATACTTTGGGGACGCTTATAATAATCCCATAAGAAAGGCATTATCCCATTTGACAAACAAACTGCCACGTGGAGAGATAAGTATGTCCAGAACAGCTATGTTCATTGCAGCCAGGCTGTCCTCTAATTCTGGAATAACATGAGCTCAAGCCAAGTGAGGGTCACCACCACAATCCCTCAAAAGCTGTGGACTCATCAAGTGTGAAAGAGTCGCCCCTCTTACATGCTGGATATGTCGATGAGGCTGACGTGTTTTTCATAGCCTAGTTGACTAGCCACTTCCCGGAACTCCTCAGTCATACGAATCAAACCCAGATCCAAATTAAACTCTGCAGGAAACGTCAGAATCCAGTACCTGCAAGGTATAAAAGTGCTTTTGAACAGCTGAAAGATTTCAAGCTGGACCTCTTTAGAAACTGCCGTACCATGTTATGGACAACAATGGACACTGAATCCAGGACTGACTGTACGTCCAAGTAGCCATGGCCAGATATTCCAGATACTAGTCTCTCTCTGCCCTCCTTCAGCCCAGAGCCAGGATCCATCATTTCAACTTTGAGAATCATCTTGATGCTGTGTAGGACAGGCAGCTGAGAGGAACTGCTTCCCCAATTCATGACAAGTAATGAGTGTGGGGAGAGGGAGTGGAAAAAATTACATTCACCCTCTTTAAGAGGTGTTTTTGTTCCCTGATTACATTCATCTCTAGTCCAGAAGGTAAATTCTAACCCATCCCTAACCCCTAGGAATCAAGGAGGACTAATTTTTAACAAAGTTGGTCAAAGAAGGCATCCCTGCTGCTTGGAGAAGAGCAAATTGCCAACAATTCCAGAATCAGTGAGTACAGTTAATGCTACAAGTCCATGAAAATCTGTAAGTCTATTGAAATCTGTACATCCATTTACCTCATGAAGTAGCAGATCTTTAATCGAAACTCATCGCAGCTTTCTCCACTGGCATTTCGATACGTGCACAAGTTAAGGAAAAGTTCTGCACACTGCTCTTTGCCCATCCCTGCAGCTTTTCTATACACACATTGCTCACACAGGGGACATACTTGACATCTGGGTTACAGGTGGAGAACCTCTAATTCAAACATTTGAAATTCAAAATGTTTCGGCCTCTGAAACTTTAGGGCCACCAATAATGTCCCCATGCCCAACAATGACTCTCCTCACTCTACATGCTGGGCAACAGTCAAAACACATCCTGGGAATGTGGCTTAGTGGTAGAGTGCTTGCCTAGCATTCGTGAAGCCCTGGGTTCAATTCCTCAGTACCACAAACACAGAAAAAGCCAGAAGTGGTGCTGTGGTTCAAGTGGTAGAGTGCTAGCCTTGAGCAAAAGAAGCTCAGGAACAGTGCCCAGGCCCTGAGTTCAACCTCCATGACTGGAAAAAAAAGAAAAAAAGATCTCAGGCAACATACATAAAATGCATTTGAAGTACAAATGAATTTCATTTTAAGAATTGAGTCCAATCTCATTATGCATATGCAGATGGTCTAAAATTACAAAAAAAATCCATGCTGTGATGTATACTGATCTGAAACATTTTGGAGAAGTGATCATGTGTACATAAACCCTCACATGGGGAAAGAAATGAGCTCTGACCATGAAGTAATTAAAACTTGAACTGTTAGTGCTCTTATATGTATTTTGGTGGGGGCTGGTGTCTGGAAGATAAGCTACTTAGAGAGTTGGTTTTACCTTCTTAAACACTAACCCATAGCTGCCAACTATAATTAAAAAGTACATTGCCAATTTTATCTACTGAAAATGGATAGTAAGGGGCTGGGAAGATGGCTCAGTGGTAGAGTGCTTGCCTTGCATGCATGAGGCCCTGGGTTCAATTCCTCAGTACCACATAAGCAAAAAGAAAAAAGCCAGAAGTGGCGCTGTGGCTCAAGTGGTAGAGCGCTAGCCTTGAGCTGAAGAGCTAAGGGACAGTGCCCAGGCCCAGAGTTCAGGCCCCATGACCGGACCCCCCCCCCACAAAAAAGAAAATGGATAGTATGCAGAAGCACCATTTTAGCAAATAAAAAAGATTTTTTTTTTGTATTTAGGAGTAGTACCTTTCCTATGTAACCTAATTTGTTTTATATATGAGAATGTCATTTTCAGGTACATAAATATAAAAGTTGTGGTTTATTCTTAAGACTACTTATTATCTTCATATATATATATATAATTGTATTGTTATTATTAAGGTGTAACACAGAGGGGTTACCATTTCAGGTAACCCGTACACCTCTCATTTGGACAACATTACTCCTTCCTTCACTTTCCCCCTGCCCACAAGTTGTATATTGATTATCTTTTTAATAATTATTTATTGAACCCCTACAAAATGCTAGCACAATGGATATGAAGTATACGTTTTCTTCTAAAGCGAGGAAAATTTAAAGAATGTAAAGAATGTTGACTCAGGGGCTCTCTCCAAGTTTTATACAACCCCAACATTCCCATATGAAGATTTTAATATGCTCTATTAACAGTGGACATAATAAGAGTAAGAATTCTTGAGGTAAGAGCCAGGTGTTGGTGGCTCACGCCTGTAATCCTAGCTACTCAGGAGGCTGAGATCTGAGGATCATGGTTTAAAGCCAGCCTGGGCAGGAAACTCTGTGAGACTCTTATCTCCAATAAACCACCAGAAAACCGGAAGTGGCGCTGTAGCTCAAGTGGTAGAGCCCTAGCCTTGACCTGAAGAGCTGAGGGACAGCACTCAGGCTCAGAGTTCAAGCCCCATGACTGACAAAAAAAAAAAAAAATCTTGGGGTTAGGTTTGGAACATGAGGAGTGATGGGGCCACGTGGGTCAATTCCTTCCATTTTTCCCTACTCTCTACTTTGAACAGCAAGTGCTACTGGAGATATGCTCACTTCGAGGACCTGGGTTCAAGGCCAATATTTCTGAACATCTGCTCTTGCTCTGATGTTCTAGGGAGGATAGGAAGGAAGACATAGAAAGTGGAGAGTGGAGAAACCTGAACCAAAGCAGGCGGATCTCCACTTAGCCCAGGAAGCCTAGACAAGCCCTAAAAACTGTCAATGAACCTTCTCCTTCCCCCTGTCTTGTAGGGATTTTTGCTCATCTACACAGCCCTTGGACTTGAAGAAGGAAGAGACCACTGGAAGTAAATATTAGAGATTGTACAATAAATATTAAATCTCAAGGGAAAAGGTGAGACTTTGCATGCACTGGCAACCATTAGATGTTCAATCACTTTTCCCTTTTCCTTTTTTCCCTTCGTCTTTTCTCTTATTTCACTTATATTTTATTCTCATACTAAGAATGGAACCCAGCGAGTTATTTGTGCCAAGCAAGTGTTCTGACACTGAGCTACATTCCCACTCCATGTGGATATTTTTTCTTCTCATATCAGAAGAAATTCTAAAATCAGCATTAATCAACAAAGTACAATACAAGTAGCAGAGTATTTATGGAGTCTTGCCAGCAAGGGAAGATCAAAACTTGTGCTTGTGTCTGAGCTAGTGCATATTATTTTAGCCAGCATCTCCATCTACATAGGCAGGGTCCTCTGTGCCCACAGTTTGGTCATTATGGAAAGAGTAAGTTAGGTCTTAGATCAGTGTCCAATATTCTTCCCTTGAACTAACAATTGACATGTTTAAGACAAGTTACCAAACACTCAGCATGCAGCTCCTGTTTTGTTTCACATTATCCTGATTATATTCAAGTACAGCCAAAACATCCAGTGGGTAATCAGCTATTTGGGCCATCATCCAGAAGTTTCATCTAGACATCTATATATTCTCAAAAGAGTTGGATAACTGACTAAAGACTTTATTCATCTTAACTCACTGGCTTTGGATAGGCTCTCTAAAATACAGAGCTTGATTTATAACAATAAAAATTACATAGTAGTTGAAAAGATATATGCAGAGAAGTTTTCCTGCCAATTCGGTGGAAGATAAATACCATCGGTGCATCAGTAGAACTATTCTTGGCAAATAGCTATTATTCAGCTCTCCATTGTCATCTGTGAAAAATAAAGTGAGAATTAAAAGACAACAGTGCTAATATCACTAGAAAAAAATGCCAGCTTTTTCCTTTAAAATTGTCTTAAAATCATACAAAGGGGTTTGAAGGCAATGTGTCTAGTTATGAGCACAATTATCCTGATCAATGTCACCCCTTTCATGCTTCTCCTTCATGTCCCTCTCAACCCCATTCCAAAAATATTTTCATAAACTAAATTAGCTTTAATCTCCTACTTCTGTGAGTTCCCTTTACTCGATAAGGTGGGCTGGGCTGTTTGTAGCTGTTATGTTCATCAAATAACAGTAGGGGATACCCAGGTAAATTTAAATATAATGTTAAAGAATGAGTGCTTTTGTCAGTGTAAGTCTGGCCTGGGTATTTAGGGCACATATTTTAAAATGTTTATATATAATTAAAACTTAATTGATCACCCTATAATTGGTCTGCAATATTGCGCTGGCTTACATCAGATTTTATTTGTTTGTTTGTTTGTTTCTTTATTGGTGGTTCTGAAGCTTGAACTCTGGGCCTGGGTGTTGTCCCTGAGCTTCTTTGGCTCAAAGTTAGCACTCTACCACTTGAGCCACAGCACCACTTCTGGCTTTTTGTGAGTAGTTTATTGGAGATAAGAATCTCATAAAGAAGGCTGGGAAGGTGGCTCAGGGGTAGAGTGCTTGCCTTGCATCCCTGAGGCCCTGGGTTCGATTCCTCAGCACCACATAAACAAAAAGAAAAAAGCCAGAAGTAGCACTATGGCTCAAGGGGTAGAGCACTAGCCTTGAGCTGAAGACAGCGCCCAGGCTCAGAGTTCAGGTCCCACGACTGGACCCAAAACAAAACAAAACAAAAAAGAATCTCACAAAGAGTCTCACGGACTTTCTGGCCTGGGCTGCCTTCAAACTGTTATCCTCAGATCTCAGCCTCCTAAGTGGTTAGGATGAAAGGTGTAGCTATCATCACCCAGCCTTAAGTCAAAGTATTTAAGGGATCAATTAAATGAACAATTCTTGTGTGATTCTATTTATCCAAGGATTATTTTAACAATGGGGTACACATAAGCAACATAAAAAGTACATAGTTGCAAAGTTAAATAATTCAACAAGAGCTATAAGACATATACAGAAGGATTAAGTCTGAAGACATATAATGATCACACCAGAATATACAATGCCCATAAACAACCTGTAGTTGAATTGAGAAAAGCAATTGTAACAGTATGAAAGGGGAAAGGTTCATACCAAACATCTCAATGCAGGTGCTCAGCAGTTCATCTAATGTTGCTGCTTTCCCAAGGCCGCTGGACCCCATGGTTATTTCCTGTTGTCAAAAAACTGGAGACATTTTCAACATCAGAGAGATCATCTTCATAATCCCATGAATCAGTGACTTTTGTGCCAGTGACTTTTGTGCCTAGTGGTAGCTTTTTGTTCTTAGTTGTGCTTCAAGAAAACTCTGAATAAACAAAAAAAGTTATCAGACTAATGGAAATTGAAGCATTGTTTCTCTCCTGTAAAAAAAAAATGACTTCCACTTACTGTATCTTTCTATACAAAAAGAACAGAACCTAAGGGGCTGAGATTGTGTTAAGTCTCATGAGAGTAAAATGACAAACTGTCCCCAAGGGTGTGTGTGTTTTGAGACACACCCATTTCCTGTCTCATAGCTGAAATGGTTTTGAAAGAATATCTTACAATTGCTTCATTGTTTTCCCTTGTCCCCTTTTCAACACTAATTCTGGCGCTTGAACTCAAACCCTCTTGTTTAGACTTTCCCACTCAAAATTGGCTCTCTGCTACTTATTTACACCTTTACTTCTGGCTTTCTGTTAGTGAATGGAAAGTAACAGTCTCTCAGATTTGTCTGCCTAGGCTAGCTTGCAAACCTATATCCTCAGTTCTCAGCTTCCTGAGTTACTAGGATTATAGGCTTGAACCACTGCTTCATAGTCTTAGTAATATGGCATTCAAGAATATTATAAATGTTATTTGGTTCAAGATTATTACATGGATGTATGAGGAGATGAATTTTTTAATACAGATATATTTATAAGCAGTATCCTCAGTGATTATTAAATGTTCAACAAATGTAAACAAAAATTATATTTGCCTCAATTTGCTAAAAGTAACAGTAGTAGTAGTAGTAAAATTATCAATAACTTACTGTACAACCACATAAAACACTATGGTCAATGTTTTCTATATATATATATAACCCAACTTGACCTTCACAATAATGCTATCATGGAATTCTTACTCCCCTTTCACCTCAACTGGTAGGATTCACAGAGATTTAGCACTATATTTTTAAAAAATCATATATATATAATAAAAAAAATCATTACTCAATAGACATTATGTTGAAATGCCTACACAACTTGTAGGCAGGGATGGAAGGGAAAAACTGGAAGAGAGTGAAGGAAGGGGTGACATTGTTTAAAAAGAAGTGTAGCCGGGCACAGGTGGCTCTGTCCTGTAAGCCTCGCTACTCAGGAGGCTGAGATCTGAGAAAGAGAAATTTTGGTGAGTCTGTACTAGGCATGCAACTCTGAAAAAAAATATATTTTTCCTGGCAATTCAGTCTATACAAAATATATTTTTGTGTCTGAGGTACCATTCTTAAAAGACAAAAGAAGGATTATTTCCAACATTCAGTCACAATAACAGAACCACTGGATTTTTGAAAGGGAATTCTTTTTTTAATTATTATTTTTATTTGAAACTTGTGAAAGAGAATTCTGAAAGTCACCTGGAGCCAACTCTTTCACATGTCTCAGTAAGTTACCTTATTGGCAGGGCATTTTCTGACCACCACACCTACCTCCCAGAGGTTCCCCCTCTAACCTCTCTTCCTGGATTTATTTTTCTTCATAATACTTATCACCATCTGACATACTCTATATTTTATTTATTAATTTGTACCTTTCTAGAACTGTAAACCTAAGACCTGTGATCAAAAGGTGTTTCCCCTGGTGCATGTTGAATGCCTAAGATTGTGCTTTTCACACAGAAGAAAATAAAAAAGGATTGGCTAGTGGATTGATGGAGAAATGAGTAAAATAAACCATGTCCAATTTTGTTTCTGAATATGGGTATGTTAGTGTGAGTTCTAGAGGTTCCATAAATTTTTCGAAGGTTTTTTAAGTTTGATTCACTTATTTAAATCAGCTTTAAATAAGTATCTTTAGAACAGACATTCTGTCAGCTTTCTAGATTATAATAGGATCTGTCCACAGTGATAAGAACTTTGGGAGCCATCAAGATATCTCAGGTGCTGGGAATGTGGCTTAGTGGTAGATTGCTTGCCTAGCATGCATGAAGCCTTAGGTTCGATTCCTCAGTACCACATAAACAGAAAAAGCCAGAAGTGGTGCTGTGGCTCAAGCAGTAGAGTGCTAGCCTTGAGCAAAAAAAACCTCAAGGACAGTGCCCAGGCCCCAAGTTCAAATCCTGGGACTGGCAAAAAAAAAAAAAGATATTTCAGGCAGCACTGTTTTTCACTGTTGTAAACTTTATCCATGTACTTAAAGGTCAAGACTGAACAATGAACAAGTTTTGTTATTTTTCTAAGTATACAAACCCTAAAATGTTGTCGCCCATTGAAGAATAAATGTATTCATTGTAAAGCCTGGGTTAGTTCATTTGGCTTTTCAAGGCAAAACAAAAATGATTCCTCTGAGCTGTTTTGGGAAGAAGTTGACCTTCCCACAAGAGGTTAGAGATAAGCCAGTATTAAAGACCTGATCAGAGTTTGGGGTTCTGTTTGTGATGAGCCAGGTGGGGTAGGCTATTAGGTTGCCAACAGTAACCTGATGCTTCTGCCATCAGGAGCTCCCTTGACAATCTGTTGCCTTGTAGTTACCTGAGATCATATTGCATAGGTGTGGACTTTATTGTGTCTACAGCTGCCTTTTCAAAAACAAAGCTTCTTCATTGTGAAAGCAGCCTGCATTTAATATTTAAAATGGACCAGGAAAGGAAAAAAGTTGCCTAGCAACTCATCATCTAGAAAAATAATCCTTATTAATATCAGAGTATGCTTATTTTAAATTTTGTATGAATATTTTAAAAATAATTTACAGTGGTTAAAAATATTTACCTGTTGTTTTCACACAAATAGATTTCTAGGTTTAGAAGGAAGTGAGGGGCAGTTACCATCACTGGGAAGTATGAGGAGAGAGAAGTCTACAGAAATGGATTGTTCAATTTCAACCATAAGTACTTTGGAAAACCTGAAAGAAAAACAAAAGAATAGAAATCAAGAACCCACATATGTTAAACGAAGAATCTGTACTGTGTTACAGTATTCTCAAAAGCATTTCTTAAGGTGTTTGGGACTGGGTCCAAACTTTCCCATAAAATCAATAAACAATAGAAAATAGTCAAAGTAGAAATTTGGTGACATATTTTTAATCAGTTAGCTTTATTTTTTGAATAAAATTGTCTTTGAAAAACACATGTGTGCTAAAGCCAATTTTTAGGTACATAATGTAAAATACTACTTTAGTTCACTCCTGATGGCCTCAACATAAATGTCAATGCTATTTTAATTCAGGTTGTTTAGTCTCCCATAGTTTAGGACTTAACTGTATTGTTGATTGCTCATATTACTTCTAAGAGGGACACTCTCCATTTAAAGGAACCACAGGGTATGATTAAGCGTGATGTGTTCATGTAACAAAGACTTTTATTAAGGTGTGTGAAGAAAGTCATTCAAAAAAAAATCAGAATCACAATCCTAATTCTAGAAGTGGTGAAGGGTAACAATTCCATGCAAATATTCATTCACAGTTATAATTCAACACCAGGGCTTTTGGCTTGGAAACTTTCAATTAAAAAAATGGGTTTCACTTAGTGCAATAACTAGTATATATCTGAGTCAAACACAAATGGTCAGATAAGTTGATGTTAGGGAAATGAACCCTAAGATATGTATTCAAATGTTTTTTTCTTTCATGGGATTGTTTCTAACACATTTATAAGATTATTTCTTTGTTGCTTTGTATGTCCCTCCCCCACGGTATAACCCCTGCTTTCACTGTATTTGATGTTGTTATAATTTTTGGAGGGAAAGGGGAAAAACAAATCGTTTAAATAGGGATACAGGTGGATCCATTGCAACAATGAGACGTACAAGTCGTTATGTCCAAAACGAACTTTATAACTTTGGTGTGGGGTGGGGGGAGGAGGAGGAGGATGGGACGGGAAGGGGAAACAAAGGAGGAGGCTACAATGCTTGATAAGAAATGTAGGGCTGGGAAGTTGGCTCAGTGGTAGAGCGCCTGCCTTGCATGCCTGAGGCCCTGGGTTCAATTCCTCAGCACCACATTAGAAAAAAGCCGGAAGTGGCGCTGTAGCTCAAGTGGTAGAGCACTAGCCTTGAGCTGAAGAGCTGAGGGACAGCACCCAGGCCCAGAGTTCAGGCCCACGACTGGACCAAAAAAAAAAAAAAAGAAATGTACTCATTATCTTGCCCATGTAATTGTACAGTATTTTCACAATAAAAAAATGAGTTTCAGAATTATAGCCACATGGGCAAAGTTTAAATTGCATTGGAGTAAAATACCATCAATGCAGCATGTTTTAGTAGATTATTTAGAGGGTTAGTAAAGTAAAATAAAATGTACACACTTGAGCCTGTGGAATGTTACATTCAAGGAAGGGAATCTCCTTCATCTTTAGATAGTTAAGGCTTTATTTTTCTCTTTAGATATTTAAGACTTTTTAAGTTGAGTATTTAAGGTGAAGTAGAGAAGCCATTTATAGAAGTGTCAGAAAGAGAGATGGTAGGGAAGGGAAAAAGAACCTGAAGGAAAAATTACTGTTGCATTAGGGCTTTATGGAGTGGGCAGGTGGCCTCCACAGCAATGAACTTTCAGGAATGGAAGCTGGGTAAAGACTGTCAAGTTGTAGATGAAGTTTCCAGATGGTGTCTAGAAATCATGCCAAATTGACAGTGAAGGTTTCTCCTGGCTCTGGGATTGTAGGATTTATAAGGCAGAATGCTGGCTCTAGGAACTATGTAAGAAGCCCTTTGTAAATGATACTGGTCGTATTCGAACTTCCAAAGACTGTCTTGTGTGTAGTTTTATCTCCATTCCCAGAAAAAGAAAAACAAAGACCCTTGAAGATTCTCCTCTGTAAGCAGTAGAAACTAACTTCATACCTAAATGACCCAGTACATGTTTCTTTACAGTCATCTGGCCTTCATATGGCAAAGAGTCTCTAAGTGCCTAAATCCTTTGTGAAACAAGAGGTAATTAGTATAAACCTTTAAGTCTTGAATTCAATTAAAAAAAAGCATTTATCATGAAAGTGAAAGATATTTATTTGATAAATACATTAGGTGTGAGACACTAAGCAAGGTACTAGAGTGTCTGCTAGAGGGTGTTGGAGTGGTCAAGAGGAAGAGTAGTCTGTTGACAAGACACAATTCTTACATTTATTCTACACCAAAGACCAAAGACGTGGAGAGATAATGATAATAAAATGTCCTCTGTACCACAGAGGAGGTAGTGGGGGAGGGGGCAGTTTAGTCTAGAAGTTAGAAGAAATTTAGCTAAGCAATGACCCAGTGAGAAGATGAAAAAGAAAAGAAATTGAAAGCCCTTGAAGGACTGAAGTGTTGAAGGTAGCAAGTGATGACACCAAAGAGGTAGGAGACGCAATTCCTAATAAATATAAAGCTGTGAGTGAGTACGAGCTTGATCTGAGGGGCAATGGAAAACCATTCATTGTTCCAAAGATGAATAGAAATAAAAAGGGCATAACCTCTTGGATTTTTCTTTTTTTTTCCTTTCTTTTCTTTCCTGTTTTTTTTCTTTTTCTTTTTTCTTTTCTTTCTTCTTCTTCTTTTTTTTTTTTTCTGATCCTGGGGTTTGAACTCTGAGTCTAGGCTCTGTCCCTGATCTCCTTTTTGCTTAAGGCTTGCACTCTACCACCTGAGCCACAGCATCACTTCCAGCTTTTTCTGTAATTAATTGGAGTTAAGTAGCTCACTGACTTTTCTGCCTAGGCTGGCTTTGAACCAGAATCCTCAGATCTCAGCCTTCTGAGTAGCTAAGATTACAGGCATGAGCCATTGGCACCTGGCTCACTTTTGAATTTTTAATAGTTCTTCCAGCTTTAGTAAGGGGAAGACTGAAGAAACCTACACTGAAGATAGAGGACTGGTTACTTGTTAATGATAACCATTGTAGCAAGAGATGATTGTTCTCTAAAGCAGTACAGATGAAAGCTAGATTTCGCTTATAAACCCACAAGGACACATGTTGAGCGGCATGCAAGTATATATATATATATATATATATATATATATATATATATAAAAACTGAAATCTGATAGATTAAAGGGAAATCTCAATGGAAGGACAGCTCAGTGAGAAGTGAATCCCCATAGCAAGATCTCCAAGAGAACGGAAAGATGGCTCCATGTTCTGGTGAATGGGTTGATCTTAATAGTGCAAAAGTTTCCCCACTGGGAACAGGAAAAGATGAGTCTCGGTGAAGTTATTATTTTGGTGGTAATAAGTCAAGAAGTTCTTGACTGGAGACTTGAATTTACTCTAAAAAAGGAAACAAGGTCATATGCTGAAAGGTAAGGTGAGTACAGATCTGAGGATTAAGAGAAAAGAATATGCAAGAGATGTTGTGAAGAACAGAATTACTGGCATTATTTTCATTAGAGTAGAAGGCTGCTGCTTATTTTAAGTTCCTTGTTCCGTGATTATACTCACTTGTGCCAAATTGCTGAAGTTATTTTTGGATGAACTTTCTGGAAACAATGTGTATTAGGAAGCTTGTATTGTATTGAAGAGCAAATGCTGTTGTGATCTATTCATGCGCTCTATAAGTTGTTGCTGTTGTTGCTTAATTTGTTTTGCTTTGTTGGATGGTACTAGGAATTGGATTCAGGATCTCACAGCTGCTCTACCTCGCTTTGTGCCTACCCCTTTTAGCGTGTTCATTTTGTTTTTAAAATAACATCTTACTAACTTTTCTGGGGCTGGCCTCAAACTCACCATCCTACTCTCTCTTGCCTCTTAAGTAGATGTTATTACAGGTATGCATAAACCTAGCCTACCTGGTTGTGCTTGCTAAATACGGTTGAGCGTCAGAACTAAAATAGGGCTTTGCATTGAACAGGTAGTATCTTCAGTAGGTGCCATCAGCAGGGCACAGATCTCATTCAATAGTTCATCAACTTTTGCCTGATAGGACAAAGAAGGCATGAAGACACCATTGGAAATGAACTAATTATTTCTGTCCTGCCCTTTGAGAGGTCCAGGGTTTTGCATTCTGGCAACTACAACCTTAGCTACATTTGCCATGTTCTCTGCCTTCCCAACCAGGCTTTCTCTACCTCTGGCCTCCCCATCATACTCTCCAATAGACTCATTACTTGTCTCTCAAGTTATCATTTCTGTTTTCTTCCCAGCTCACATTTTGTATCTGGTATCCTTTGGTTGTATCTGCACTTTCCTTGTTTAAGCTCCTCAGTTCTTTGAATTTTCCTTTCTACTCTGTTTCTTCTGATTTGCTGCCCTTCATAGGATGCTCACCAGCTCTGTTCTTGTCACTGTCGGTTCTATCACAAAAATACTGGAGTAGGATGAACACAGGAAACAGGCCCACTGCTTACAGCAACGTTAAGTCATCCTAAGCAGACCAGGACCAAGGTCACAACGAATAAAGTACCTCACATTTCTGGATAGTGGAGCTTATCTCCCAAAGGTCATTTGATAATGACAGTATAGAGTAGCTATGGAAAATACTGTATTTTTCAACACTAAACGTAATTGTTTCCCATTCTATGTTTTGATAGGCTTATTTAATAAGATTTTCCAGTGTCTTATTAATTTTTTTGTGGGGAGGGGGTATTTGTTTTCCCCCAAAAGAGCTTTTACTAAATGAATGGAGAGTGAATCATTGATACTCTCCTGGATTTTAAAAACTAAAGTAATAATAGCATGCAAAAATACCACTTGTTGGTGACAATGTCATTTGAAAGACGCAATGCTGGAGGATGTTACCTATATATGGTTATTCTTATAAAACTCTGGAATCCAAGATAAGAAAATTGAGCCTAGAGAGGTTACTTTAAGTGTCCAATAGTAACTAGTTAGATTGCAAAGTCAACTCTGACTCCAAACATTTCTTCTTTTTACCCCTACCCATACAATTTTTAGCTGTTATTAAAAGGTTTGTCCATTAGATACAATTCCTGGGCATT